CATGAGTAGTACATGGCAAAATCAAACTTTTGTTTAACACTCAAATACATGTTACAATCTGACTTTTAAATCAATACAGCAATATAGTAATGTGATAATACAGTAATACACATTGCTGTATTGATTTAAAAGTTAAATCATCACATGCATTTGAGTGTCAAACAAAGTTTAATTTTGTCGAATACTAATTATAAACAAGGGGCTAAGTATGACAGAGTGTTGTATGATCTGAAAGTGCGCGAAGATTATAATACAATGGTTAAATTAAATGATTTATATTTTAAGACAATACATATTATTAACACATTTGGCTATCTATAACAAGACTTTAAAATAATCGTGAATATTAAATTTAGGAGAATTTACAAATAAGGGCCTGGAAAGTAAAAATAATTACAAATACGGGTCATAATTAAAAATAATTACATATAAGGGTCTAATTTATAAAAAATATTACATATAAGTACCTAAAATAATCGTGACACTATTGGCTTGATCGTTATTAGTATAAGAAACGTAAGCATCGCAAAAAAAATGTAGCGATCTATTGTAAATAAATTTAATTTTCTTTGTAGAAAATTGTTTATTGTTATAACAAACCCTATGATATTAAGTAAACATTGCAAATTAGCATGACATTTACTTATAGGGAAAATGTTCATTCAGGTTTAGAGAGCTACTCTGTTAAACTTCGCCTTGAATAATTGTGCTAGTTTGATATTATATTTTATGCAATATTTAAATGAAAATGATTATAACTAGCACTTCATTTATTCTTTTATTTAATAATTAGTATATAGTTAACTTTAAATGTTTATAATAAAACAATCGATAATCCTATAATCGCGATTTTGCTATCATCAATAGATTTGGGCCCTTATATATAATATTTTTAAAAAGGTAGGCCCTTATATTTAATTATTTTAATTCGGGCCTGTATTTGTAAATATTTTTACTTTTCGGGCCCTTATTTGTAAATTTCTCTTAAATTTACTAATATTTATATAGTCACAATGCTAAATCTAATACATTATCATCAAACTTCCAATAGCATAGAGAAAGTGCTTTGCCATCATGGTTTCGGGCAGTCTCTTCATACAAAATTATTTGGCGCACATGATTGTCTGAGTTATGAATACCAACAGAAGCAGCTTTGAGTTGGTTTGTCTCTGCTTGGGATAAAATAACATAAATCATGGTATATAGTTAGAAATTATGTCCTTATATTATTAAAGCATGCGACATTTGTGATTTTAAATAGTTATAATTACTATGAACTTTGTCTAAAAAATTAATGATTATCTATCTTAAATCGGCATTATCATTAACTTTATTGCTTCAGCAATAACGGACACAATTTCGTTCGAAGTGAAGTCTTTCGGAAGGAGACATATTTTGGCTAGTTTGTTCTTCAAACTGCTGTGAAGCTGGTAAGGGCTGCGTTAGTTGTTGTAACAATATAAAATTAAAAATTTTAATGATAATTCATATTATTAAGACTTTTATCAAAAATTTACCTGAAGGAGTCATATCAGATGTCATCGGTTGTCTTAGTGGTTGAAGTCTTATTGTTAGTAGTAAGATGCAACAATCATTTGTGGATTTTTCTGAAACATCTCTCTATCAGAATTAATACCTACTATTTAATCTCTTTTTTCATGTCACTGCATTGATTATTTAATAAATTTTTAGTTAGTAATTACATCATATTGAACAAACAACTTTGTTATACTTACATGGATAATCATTAACCAGTGCATCCATAGTTTCAGTTTCAGTCACCGTGTTAGTTTTGTAGTAGTCTTCTTTTAAGTTTTTTTTACTTCTTCTTTTAACTGCTGCTTTTCGGCCCTTTGTTGTCTCTTCTTTTCCCCTTTATGTTGTATTTCTTTCTGCTTTTTTCTCTTTCAAGCTATCACGCTTCCTTAGAATGTTGTTCCTTTGATCGACATCATACAACGGAAAGCAAAATATTCCAGTCAAAGATAAATCATATAAGCTACATAATAAAAGAAATAATGGTGGGATATATGTATATCTAATTGTGTCTGCCACTCTGATTCTTGATAATTTTTGACCTGGTTGATATTTTAATCAGTTGAATTCTTGAAAGTTTCTGATATTTTTACCTTGAGTAATGGTGAACTTTTGTTTGGTTGGTGATTCTGAGCTTTGCGAAGATGTTCTTGCACCAGATAAGGATTCTGCTGATACCAGTAAATAAAAGTATCAAGTAGAAACAAAATAGACATATTAGGTTTTCAATTATAAATTAATTTATACTCACCAGCTAATAATTTAATTATAAATAATTGATTAGAGAAGTTTTTTTTTTAAACTAAAATTTCAATTATAAATTAATTTATACCCACCGGCTAATAATTTAATTTATAAATAATTGAGATGTTTTTTTTTTTTAACTATAAAGATTAAATTATAAATTAATTAGTTCCATCATTTTAACGTTACCTCTGCTTAGATTTTACCACAAAATCCTGTAAGACAGATTCCCGAAAGAACATAATACCGACCAAAATGGCCAGCATTATAACTAATGCCAGCTAACTTTGTTGGTATTAGGTTCTTTCGGGAATCTGTCTTGCGGGATTTTGTAGTAAAACCCCTCTGTTTGTATTATTTGGACGTGGTTTTTAAGGATTTATACCTTTAGAGTAGAGAGTATTAACTGTGAAGGCCGGCGCTTTGAAGGAATAAAAAAGATTTGTTCTGAAGCGGCTTGAAGGGCATGTTAAGTCTGATCTTGAGGTTGGCCAACTGGTGGAAAATTTAAGCATGATAGGTCAAACATGAAGAAGGTGGCACAGATATATTATTTAGAGTTGTTGTATGTATTTGCAGAAGTTGATGTAACAGAAGAGTTTCTTGAGAGTATAGAAAATGAAAAGCATATTCAAACAGATGGAATCTGATAATCATTAATAGAAAGTTATTAGTTAGTTATGCACCGTGTAAGTCACCATTACGGATTTCGATTGTCTGGAATGGTATTGGTTAGTTACGCACCGTGACAGACACCATCACGGGATCTGACAGATTTTGAATGTCCAGAAGTATAGTGTCCTCAGCTACGCTTCGGACAATAAATATATATATATTACTTGCAAAAGTAAAAACTTATACTAATTATCTATAACCTAAACCTACTAAATTGATCAAAACTCATCTAGATTTGTAAAGTTAAAATATAGTTAATAGATATGCTATTTTGGGTTCACATAGAGGCTTATTTGTTAAATTTAAAACATGCTTGACTAATAAAAAAATATATGTTACTATAAAACGCTATATAAAAGTCTCCCCTTAATAGTAGATCCACCATGGATTATACCTGGGTCTATTATGTGGATCAAAATTTTGTAAATTGTATAAGACCTGGGTCTATAAATAGATCATAAATATTAAAAGACCCGGGTCTATAAATTGGTGTAAATATTAGAAAACCTGGGTATGTTATCTATAATATACACTGATAAAAAATAAAAAATAAAAAAATAAATCATTGCTGTAGTATACTAACGCCATAACATTATAAGTCTAGAGCATTATTACTCAAGTGCAATACTAAAATTACAAATTTGGAAATTTTTGTCTGTCTCTAAACATTTCTGGTGTGATCTTATCAAAAATGTAATTTTTATATTACCAGATATAAACATCGCTACACTCCAGACAATAATGCTATACCGATACATATAAAATAAATTTATTCATGCCAGTATTGTACATTTTAGGTGTCCCAAGTTGAACATTTCAACACTTAATTTATAAACCTATTCATCCATTTGCAAAACTTAATTTTGAATGATTTTAATTAATAGTTTGAATTAGGTTATTAAGCTTATAATAAAATTTTACATTTTTAATTTACTGTAAAATATCTAAATCTGCAAGTGATCCTTTGTATTCGCACATTATAAGTTTCTTTGCATCCCATAATGATAATGCATAGAGTTTTATTTGATTGTTCAGTACAAATAAATAATTAAGAAAAATATATCTACTATTATATAATCTATAGGCTTTATTTCTTAATGCACATAAATTAGCAAGTTTAATTTCTAATGCTTTATTTAAATCAAATTTATATATACCTATTATGTGGCAAGTCATTCTGTTTATTTATAGCAGTGACCAATAAATTGTTAAATCTTCAAAGACTTTAATATTAGCTCATTGTGAAACAGGTTACAAGTGAATGTTTAATATCAGCACATTATTTTAATAAATTGTAAATTCAATTATTTACATTTTAGCTCGATACAATATTTCTTTAGTTTTCTATAGTTGAGATCCATATCTCTAAAATTATAGGCTGAAAAGTTTTAATCCCACAAATTAACGTATCCAACCATCTCATCATTATAATATAAGTCTTCATCACAATCTTCCTAGTCATTACCACTACTACTATTATTATCGTCACTACTATTATTTTTGTCATCATTGTCTTCATCATCATCATTTTCATTGCCATCATTTTCATTATCTTCATCATTATAGCTATTACCATTATTGTCATCACTATTATTGTTATCATTATTATCATTTTGAGTCAAATCAACAATACTTTTACCATCACTTGTATTATCCTCATCAGCATATATATATTTACCTGGGTTGTGAATAGACAGTATTAGACAGCCATTAAATATATAAAAATTATGAATAAACAAATATTTAAGGATTTTTTCCCATTAGACTATATAAGCAAATACCCTGATATTTATTATTTTTATTTCAAGACTCTGGATTATTAACCCAATCATAATTAAACACTAAATCCTCTTCAGTCTCATCTTGAGTGATAGAGATGCTACAACACTTGAACGAACATTTGATAAGAGCAGGATCAACTTGGTTCCATGCTCTTAATATCCATTCGGCTATCAAATTATAGATAGGTCATTAGATACGACCTGTACAGGTTAGTTTTTTAATTTCTTCTCCTATCCATTCGAGATAAAATTTGTGATACTTAAATAAATTAAATAATTAAATTTATAAAATGATAATTGTATAAATTCAATAATATTGTTCTTGACCCACCTTCAAAAAAATTATTATTTTTGACCATGAAATATAAAATTTTCAGTTAAAAAAAAAAAAAAAAAAAAAAAAAAAAATAGAATGCACATCCATCTAATAAAGCAATTCAAGCTTGTATAGAACCTTATTATGTAATCATCAATTAATAATTGCTTATACTACACATTCTACTATATAATTATTTGATAATTTTTTTAGAAAATAGGATTAAAAATATTTGGCCTATCTTTTTTTTTTTAAAAAAAAAAAAGTATTGTCTACCTTGTCTTTAAAGGACTTATTAATATATATATCCAATAGTTGCAACCTTTTTGTAAGTCCTTCTGGGATAACTGCCATGTTAGTATTTTTTTCATTAAATTGATTTTTAACTGGGTCTGTAAAATGACCACTAAACACATCCAAAACTAAGAGTGAATGAGGGTTGATAGACAAAGAAGCTCATCAATTCCATATATTTTCAATCCAATAAATCATTTCATTACTATTCATATACCCACTTAGATTAGTTTGTATAACAATGCCTGGTAAAAATACTTGCCGTGGCATATTTACTAATTTAAAAAGTATTATAAGAAGCAATTTAGTTCTGTTAGCTAAACAACTTAAAACAACTGTAAAGTTAGATTTTTCATAGCTAGCTATATGGATTCCAATAGTATTAGCACCAGTTTCTTCAATTGTATAATTACTGGGCATGTCAAATGCTAATGGAGTCTTATCTATGTTACCAATAAGTGAAAGAGGATACTTGTAGTGTATGTGATGATATAATATGTGGCTTAAAAATTTATCCCTCTTAGGTTCTAAGTCTTCTAGTAATTTTGTGCTACAGTGATTCAGCGCCAGTTGCTAAATTTATTATGACATATAAAACTATTGACCCACTTGTTACTCCATTTGCACTCATTGATTATTGGATAAAGTGAAAGAAAATGTGATTGCTCTGCAAGTTAAATAGCTTTAGTTCTAACCATATAATGAGATATGATCTTTTGCTGTAAATGTAAAGATTTAACCCAGGTTTTAAGATCAGCTTCTAAAAGCAGATACTTAGCATGCCCACCAATATTTAACTATCTAACACAATATAGTGTATTTGTTAATTCTTTTTTCTTTTTTATCTATTCTCACAATTGTTTCAGAGTTATATTAAACTTTTCTGCAGTGTTTTGTTTGCTAGCCATAGGATTTTTTTCAAGGTACGTAACAATTGCCAATTTTTTACAAGCGTTCCAACTTCTCTTTTTTTTTTTGGTAATATTTGCTTGGGATTTTAAAATTGTTCTTCTACGTACCATTTTTCTGATACTTAAATATATATTATTTCATATTAATATCTTCATGTTAATTTTAATAAACTTTTGTCCATTACCTTTTCGTTAAAAAAAAAAAAAAACTTGAAACACAAAAAAATATAAACCATAGTAAATTTTTTATATATAAAAAATAGTAATGTAAATTTTACACATGCTAATTATGCTAATAAGACAACTATACTATAGTGATAGCGATAATTTGATAAAGTTACTTAAGCACAGGAACAAATAATTGCTTGACATATAAGATTTTTTGAAGATTGAAAATTAAAAAAATTGAAATAACCAGATAATTCTGTAAAATGTTCATTAATTTTTGATTGCTATATCACAATAACAATAACTTTAAATATATTTGTAAGAGATTCTTTATAATGCTGCAGACTTTACTGATTTATTTTTATCAGTCTTTAACACGGGTTCTTTTATCTATTTATTTATTTATTTATTTATTTTTTTTTTAAAAAATAATAATAATAATAATAATAATAATAATAAAAGAGTTGTTCTTTTGTAATCAAACTTATAGCCTTCACACTTTGCCTCTAAACTAGTTAAACCACTAGCTCAAATTCAACTTGGGTAACATCGAATTCGTTCTTACTCTTCGCTATGTCATATATAATATAGTTTGAATAAAAAAAAAAAAAAACCATAATCCACATCAAAAAAACCTTTTATAACTAAAGTATAGCAGCATATAATTGGGTAGCTACCCACTTACGGCAGTATGTTATTTCATATTCTAATGTCTGCATCTTTATTTATAACACACGATGCAGTGATATACTACAGTATATACTATATAAATCAAAACCATATAACTTACAAGAATT